ATAATTTGAAAATTGAATAATAAGAACAATGAAGAAAGACATACCCTACCAAGTAAAATCAAATGGTGTTAAAGACAGGTTAATGGATCAAATATAGAGTAAAAAGTCAATGTGTATTACATATGCTGGGTCCTTAGTAACACTTTCCATCTGGAAACATATCTTTCAACTCATGAAAATTTTTCTGAATTATTTTGTTAATAATTTTATCATCTTCACTCTTTTTCTACTCAGTTTGGAAGTGCTTTTAGTCATATGTTGGATCACCTGGACTCTTCCTCTAACCTTCTTCTATTTTCCTACTCAGATGTTTTTTCCCCCCTTTGCTTTCTAGGTGGCCATCTCAATTTTATTTTCAGTACCTTCTACTAACTTTTGAATATCTGCTATTATGCTTTTATTTTTAAAGAGCTATTATCTGATTTTTTCAGTATCCTTTAATGTTTGTAGAAACATTTTCTTGTTTCTTAGTTGAAAAATCTTTTGTCTCTCTTATGATGTTAACTTAGCTTCTTTCCTTAAAATTCTTCTTGTGGATCTGGTTAACCACCTTATCCAACTGATAGAATTTAGCATCATTAATTATTCTCGCTGGTGGACCAATCTAAATGTATAGGCTCTCCTAATATGAACACAAAATAACATCATCAATAGAGTAGAGGTATTTTTAGAAAATAGGAAAAATAGGGAAATAACCTCAAAAAATATCATTAGGAAACAGTCAAATTCAGAATATAAGATGTTTTATGTACAAGATAATTGACTTGGACTCCTCAAAACATAAATGTCATAAAAAACAAAGGATAGAGGGACTGTTCTATAGTAAAAAGTCTAAAAATATGCAAAAACAAAATGTAATTCATGAAATCTGGTTGCATCATGGAATAATAATGAGGCATCAATAAAAGTCACTGTGGGATTATGGAAAGTAAATGGTAAAAAAATAATTTTCTTAGATGTGAAAATGCCAACTTATAGGGAAAGCCCTTATTTTTAGAAGATATATGCTGAATTATTTAGGAGTGAAATTTCATGATTCAGCATGAGAGAGAAAAAACATAAGTATAGTAAAATATTCTTTGCACTATTTATTCAGCTTACTTTAGGTTTGACATTATTTTTTTTAAATTATTAGATATATTGGGGTGACATTAGTTAATAAGATCATAGGTTTCAAGTGTGTATTTCTCTAATACAAGATCTGTATATTGCACTGTTTGCCCACCACCCAAAGTCAGACCATCTTCTGTCAACATAGATAAAAGCTGAGGAAAGATGTTCTTTTCTTGCAGAGTCTGTCACCCCTTTTGTTCTGTCTGTTTTACTTCCTCAGATGGCAGGTAATCCTGGCTGTCTGCTCACTCACGGTTAAGAACAGAAGATTAAAGTGTGAATCGTGTATGAATGTAGGTGGGGCACGTTTACCGTGGTTTAACTGTTACAGTATCTGGGCTGGGTTCATTTTTGTTTTCTTTTTGTTTGTTTGTTTTTATTCTTTTTACTTTGCTGTAAATATTCTTATACAGTGGGGCCTTGACTTACGAGTGTCCCTACTAACGAGTTTTTCGAGATACGAGCTGTCTCTCAGCCGATTTTTTGCTTTGAGTTGCGAGCTAAAATTCGGGTTACGAGCCAGCTTCAGATACCCCACCGCTAGTTGGCGCAGCGAACGTCACAGTGAACACCACAACATCAGCCCAGCATCACGTGTCTCACTCGTTCACTTTTTGACTTGACATACGAGTAATTTGAGTTACGAGCTCCGTCAAGACCCCACTGTATATCTCCTCATGGGCTGGTCAGATTTTCTAGAAATCATTTTAATTCTATAAACCTACACTTACTTCTCCATTTTCACTTTGGTATGTACTTTAACTACCTGGCCCCCAGTCCTCTGGGGAGAGACCTTTTCATTATCCTCTTCAGAGCACAAATCTCAAGTAAGGTTATCTGCTTAGGAAGTGGTGGTGGTCGGGGTTGGGGGGAGGGGGGTGGGAATTGAGAGGATATAACAGACTTTGATCGTCTCTTGCTTCAGTTCCCCTTCATTTCTGTTCCGAGGTGGCTTTGTCAATTCCTGTGCCTGTCCTTGGGGATTCCCCGTTGCCAACCTAGGATTCCACTTTCTCATATTTGCAAAATCAGTTACCACTCACCCATCTGCTTTCATCTTCCAAATGTTTGCTGCATTTGCCTCTTTTCCAGCTATTTTTGTTCTTGATTTCTGATGGCTTTTTTCCCTATCCCTTTATCTCAGCTTAGTGGAATATTGTGGTTATGCTTGTGTATACATACATATATAACTTATTATTTGTAACCAACTTTCCCAATAATATATATTGATAAAGAAAAGCACTGAAGACATGTTGCCATGAAAAACAATATATCTGTTTATTTTTAAAAGTGTGTATTCAGTAATCCCAGTTTTATAATGTTAGCTTATATATGCACCAAAAAGTACTGAAAGGGCCTATATCAAAATTATATGGATAAAAATAGCTTGGATAGAACTTCGGGTGAATTTTTACTTTATTTCTCTTGCTTATTCCTATTACTCATTTTTGTAGTGACTAATATTAATTTTTTAAATCCCAACTGTACACAAAAGCTACATCATAACAAATAACACACATATTTTGACCTTTTTTTAGTAGATGACCAGAATTTAAAAAAAAAATTACTAAGATTATAAAATGGAGTTTATAGAATCCCAAATAATGTTCCCAATTTTAACTATTAATATGCTGTTTTTAATGACAAGTTCCTTCCTTGCAGGGGGATGCATGCTATGACTGCAGTAGAGAACCTCCTGAGAAAGAATCCTGACAACATTTCAAAGGTCTAGTCTCTCTCGGAAAGCAAAGTGCTGTCTGTTCCTTCCTGGGCCCTGAGATTTTTGTCTTATGCAAAGGAAAGCTCCCTAGCTATGGCTGCCAGGTAGATGAGATGAGAGCAATGTCAGCTCAAGTCCATCAGGCATAGCCAAGTCTGGTTTTGAATATATCTCCATCCATAACAAATTCAGCAACACACTTGGAAGGAGGCAGGAAGATCATAAGACTTTTATTTAAAAGCTGTCAGAGGGCTCAGTGACACCCAGTTCTGCTCTCTGACTGTCTGTCAACAAGAGGCCAGTCCCAGGGGGCTGTGAAAGTCATGTTTATGTGCCCTCTCTCTTGAATACAGGCAGGCAGCCAGGACAAGCAGCTTCAAGAATTGGCTACTGTATTTCATCATTTAAAATCTACATCAAAATCTGATAATGATATGACACTTGGTGAAATGCAAATTTCCAAGAGGAAAGGGTGCCAGAAAATTGAAATGTGAAGTTGAAATGTGAAGTTGCTGGGAAAATAGATTGTATAGACCTGTGGCAAGAACTACCTTGCTTATTACCCCATCGCCCTTCAAACTTAAGGTCAAATGTACCTCTGATTCTCCACTTTCAGGCAATCTGACCTTGAATGAGGGAGGAAAACTGACTCACAGACTATTCAACTTAACAGTGATTTCCATTTTTCTTATTGATGCCTTGAATTTTCTGCTGAAGCGTCTTAGTCAGCATTTGCCTTCTCCTTGCCCCAAAGAAGGTTGCTAAGCTTTTAGTTGCCATTCTCTTACTGTAGTTCCCAATCCAGACTAATATTTTCTCATACTCTGCAAGCCTAGAAGATTTAAATCCACTCCATCCACTTGTCACCCTCTCTTAGATTCCTGCTCTGAACATAGACCTAGAACTGTTTTGCTTACTGAACCACGGATAAAAGTGACTTTCTGATCAAGTCCAGAGTCCTAGTTCCTTTTTGTACTTTCCATGTAGATCCTCATATATAATCTCAGAAGAAAGGAAGCAAGCATCTTTTTCCAAATGCAAATAATCTAGAACAATTGCTATTGAACTGGGATTTCTTTTGATCATAGCTTTTTGAATAACTCAGATTTTAGAGGGTGGTCTTTATAGCTAATCTCTCTTCAGTTTGGAGTAGGATGCAGGCAACAAGCTGAACCTACTGAAGAAGTACTCCAGGCAGAGCCTTGAGACCTCAATCAATTAGTTTCCAGATGAGCTATTCCCTACAGGTTATTCTCAACGTATTTTTTCCATTCTTGTACTTTCAACCTATACTGTCTTATAGTTGGTTCTTGCTTTGAAAAAAATGTTTTTGATTTTTAGAGAGCAAGGAAGGGAGAGGGAAAGATAGAAACATTGATGATAGAGAAGCATCATCAATCAGCTGCCTCCTGCATACCCTCTACTTAGGATGGAGTCTGCAATCTGGGCACGTGCCCTGACCAAGAATCAAATCAGTGATCTCTTGGTTCCTAGGTCAAAGCTCAAACACTGAGCTACGCCGGCCGGGCAAGGTTCTTGCTTAGTTTATTCAGTCGAACAATCTCTTTTTGATTAGAACCTTCAGGTCTTTTACATTTAATATTATTCATAATATTAATATAGCTATATTTTTTATTTATTTCTGCCACTTGGCTATTTGTTTGATTTGCCTATGTAGAAAACCCCAAATGTATTTTTAAATATATTTTACTGAATTTTTACAGTGAGGAAGAAGATGGATAGAGAGTTAGAAACATTGATGAGAGAGAAATATCAATCAGCTGCCTCCTGCACACCCACCACTGGGGATGTGCCCACAACCAAGGTACATGCCCTTGACCGGAATCAAACCTGGGACTCTTCAGTCTGCAGGCCGACTCTCTATCCACTGAGCCAAATCAGTTAGGGCCCAACTGTATTTAAAAAGGTCACCAGATATAAGGTCAATATAAACATGAGATATTTGAATCTATAGTAGTCAGGAAAATTAAAATATAGGTGGCCTTACTTCTAGCAGTTTGATAAAGTTGGGTGATTCCCTTCTGCAGAGAAAAAGCAAACACCCAAAAAATATTACTTAAAACCACCATTGAAAAACACTGGAAATTGGTTCAAGATCGGCAACAATATGAAAAGTATTCACTCATTTTAAAAATTAGCAAACTAACCCTAGCTGGTTTGGCTCAGTGGATAGAGCATCGGCCTGTGGACTGAAGGGTTCTGGTTTTGATTCTAGTCAAGTCACACGCCCAAGTTGCTGCAGCTGATTAATGATTCTCTCTTATCATAGACGTTTCTATCTCTCTCTCCTTCTTCCTTCTTCTGAAATCAATAAAAAATATTTTAACAAATTCTCAAAATACTGTGTATTAGGTAAAATGTAATTTGTGATCTCCTTGCCTTGGGGTGTTCTCTTCACTCCCAGCTGGAGCTGGAGGTAGGTGGCAGACTCAGTTCATGACACATGGCAGTGGAACTGTTAATGCAAGGGGGTAGGTAGATTTTGGAAGCTGAGACAACAGATATTCCACATTTCTGGCTAGCTTATAAATTATATACTCATGTAGGAAATCTCATAAAGCCCCCCAAATCCCTGAAAATCTAATAAATCTTACAAACTTTCTATGTCTTTGAATCTATTCATTATTCAGGCAGCAAAGATAGGTTCTGTAAATAGCTTCAGGCTTCTAGGGAGGGAAAAAACAACAAGCTATAAATAGTTGCACATGAGATAAATTTCACAGATTGAATTAAGTCAAGTTAATGGCCTATTATCACAATGACAAAAAATAAGTCCCAGAAAAACAAAACGGTACTTAAGAGTCAATGCAATGCATTATATACATTAACACACTTTCAACCAAAAATTACTAGACATGCAAAGAAATAAAGATTTGTGAGCTGTACATCAGATTTGGAAGCACAGCATTCCTCATAGCATAGGGAAGTAATATCTTCTTGAATTACTTGGAAAGAAGTAAATATGTAGGCTTTTTTTTTTAGTTCTCTTTGTTCCCTAAATCATTTCTGATCCTCCAAATATTTATTTCTCTTGTTTGTTAGCTTAGTCTTTTTATTCCATGTTACTGGCTTTAGTACAACAGTTCACATTTCGTGTTCATCCAATCATGTTCAAGAATGAGGCAATGCAACACTGACCCTAGGCTTTCCAACAGAGATGCTGTTCTTTGCACTCTACCCCATCCTCTGATCTGTATTCATTGATGCAGAAGTCCATACTAGTAAGTCTTCCTGCACTTGAGACTCATGATGAAAATATTCAGTGCGTGGTCTGAATGTGTGCCCTTAAAATTCACATATTGGAATCCTAATGCCCAAAGTGATGGTGTTAGGAAATGGGGCCTTTGAGTGGTGATTACATCGTGAGCACACAGCCCTCATCAGTGAGATTAATGGCCTTATAGAAGAGGCCCAAGAAAGTTCCCATGCCTCTTCTGTCATGTGGGCACACTGGGAAGTCTGCAGTCTGCAACCCAGAAAAAGGCCTTCACCAGAACTGGACCCAGCTGCACCCTGATCTTGTACTTTCAGCTTCCTGAACTGCAAGAACTAATTTTTGTTGTTTATAAGCCACACTGTCTGTGGTCTTTTGTTATAGTTGCCTGACTGAACTAAGACAGTCATGTCATAGTTAAATGATAAGCAGAGCTGGAAATTCTTTTTGCTAGACTCTCAGATAACAGAGAAATGGAAGTGTTAAAGGCCAGGGACTCTCAAAACTAGAATGGATTATCAGAATCAATTTTCTTTCACCCTCTAACTTCCTAGTAGATTCATACTTATAGCATTTTTAATATATATATATTATTGATTTCAGAGAGGAAGGGAGAGGAAGAGAGAGATAGAAACATCAATGATGAGAGGGAATCATTGATTGGCTGCCTCCTGCACAATCCATAGGATTGATTCCGCAACCTGGGCATGTACCCTGACCAGGAATAGAACCATGACCTCCTGGTTCATAGGTTGATGAACAACCACTGAGCCATGCCAGCCATGCCATACTTACACCATTTTAAGAAGATAAACATCTGTTCTCTTTTGAAAGATATTTGAGTTTTAGTGGGAATGGATTTTTTTCCTGCAAAATAAGTTATTTTTAAATTGCCAAACTAAAACAATATCAGATATTTGACCAATTTATAATTTATCAGTTTTGAAAAAGAAATTAATTTTTCAGTAAACCAGCCAATGAATTTTTCTGCCTTTATTCCATCAACACTTTCTGCAATATATATGTGTTTAATACAGTTAAATTTTTTTAAATGAAGGAAATATCTAGGTAAGTAATTCTCCAAAAGTGTTTTGCAGAATAGTAATCCCAAGAGATAAACCTTGAAAGAAAGAATTCCTTAAGCAATTTACTTGAGACTCATAGTATATACCAACACGCTCCAAGAAGTTGTCAGTAAACAGACTTGCATCACTTTAAAATTCTTTTCCAAATAGTTTGCCATATAATCATTTCACATTAAAACCCATGAAAATGTTTTAAGATCCTAATATTGAATAGAACATATTTTAGGAAATACAGATCTAAATTCATACTCTATCCTAGTAAACTAGAAATCTCTGTAACTATGAAAGAAAGCACAGTTATTAATTATAGCACATTTTTTTGCCGAGAAGAAATGTTTAAGATGTATGCTGTTCTAGTCAAGATGATCAAAGCCTTGAGCCAAAACTTTTTGTACTCAGACCCTTAATGACTCAGGCTCTTACTCCCATCATTGAAAAAACTGCGCATTATTTAAGTAATACTTGAAAGTCCTCAAAAGAAAACAATTACTGGCCAAAATATATAAGCAACCTTTATTTAGGAGATAAACATTTCACTGTCTAAAACTTTTCCATTTTGTAAATCATAGACATCTTTCACTAAAATGTGGCTGGATAGCCCTGGCAGGTACAACCTGTAGTGAAGGGTCAAGGATTCCATTCCCAGTCAAGGGCATGTACCTGGGTTGTAGGTTCAATTCTGGCCCCAGTAGAGCACATCTGGGAGGCAACCAATTGATGTGTCTCTCTCACATCAATGTTTCTCTCTCTCTTTTTCTCTCTCTCTCCTACCCTCCCTCCCTACTCTCTCTAAAAATCAATGGAAGAAATAGCAACAACAACAAGAACATTTCTGAATAAAAAAACTGCTAAGTGCTCTAGTGAGATACGGGGCATTGAACAGGACAGTTGGAAAAATTCTTGCTTGAGTAGATCCTGGCAATTCTAGTCTCAATATAAGAAGAGTCTCTAGAGTTGGAAATGAAATTAAAATCAAAATGTCCATTCGTGTCTGCACTTATTTTAAGCAACAACACTATTATTTTCAAAGAAATATTACCCAGGATTCTAATACTTAAAACTGACCAGAATTGAGCTAGACTAGTTGGAGTCAAGTGCCCTCCAGGCTCCCGCGGCCCCTAGCAGCTTCAGCTTCTCCTAGGTAGTGATTCAGCAGAATCATCTAGAGAAAACTATTAAAAATGTAGAATTCTATACCTCTTGGGAAATGGCTCTAGGAGTCTGAAGGAAAACACTGATAGTATTAGTGTAACTTAAATTTCAGAAGTTCCCTTTGGTTCAAACATTTCCAGTATTTGGAAACCCACCTTCTTAAATAATATAATTTGTCTTTTAGTGCTTTCTCCTGACTTGTATAGTTGTGTGTTCCCCTGCCATTCTCCTAGCAGTGTGCCGTGGGTGGCCTACCTTTAAATGCCAGATTTCTAGATTTCCAAGGTGGATTGTTCTCTGCCTTTATGATGTCATTATGACTTACACCTGTGATTCACTGAGGATTACTGGATTCTAGTCTCACCTTCAAAACTTCTTTTGCTAGTCTGTCTGCCAGCAAAGTTCAATCACTCCTCATTTTCTGTTTTGTCCTTTTTTAACTTATGAGCTCCATTTTTTTTCAGGCTATTAGATCTCAAGTGCTTGATATTCCTATTAGATCTGGGGCATTCTTGAATATGGAAACAGACTTCCTGTTTATTTTATGTCTTTCAGAGCCCAGGTTGAAAAAAAGAACAGTCATACTGACTAACTGACCTCACATTGCAATGAACCCAGTATCATAAGTGGATCCATTCATAGAAAGATCACATAGTGGGAACCACGGGCCTGGGAAGGTTTAAGATCCAGGGAAACAGGGTTTTTTTTTTTTTTAAAAAAATGTTTTTATTGATTTCAAAGAGGGAAAGGGAGAGTTAGAAACATCAATGATGAGAGAGAATCATTCCTTGACTGTCTGCCTCCTGCATGCCCCCTATTGAGGGTCAAATCTGCAACCACAGCATGTGCCCTGACCAGAAATCGAAACTTGACCTCCTGATTCATAGGTACATGCTCACCCACTGAGTCATGCTGGCCGGGCCAAGGAAATAGTTTTTAAATGGAATGTTCCTGAAAAGGTTCCTGTCAATTAATTTAGAACATCAGATTCTATCCCAAGAGCACTAAGGAATTCAACTCAGTAGAAAACCCTTGTGAAAAATAGCCAAGCCCTTCTGTTTTATTTTTATTATTTTGTATTTTTGTTTCTTAGGAGTTTGTTAAAGCAAAACCCATCTTTTCACAGCAACAGGAAGGAAAAAACAAGGACTAGAAATGGATTGTTCTTTCTGGTAATAGCATAATGAGATTAGTGATTTTCTTGTTTTGTTTTAAATGAGTGCAGTTTGATTCTGGACTAAAAGATTATTCATGACACTAATTCTCTTCTCAGCATGAGAAGATGAATTACTTTTATGTGTGTGTGTGTGGTGTGTGTGTGGTGTGTTTGTGTGGTGTGTGTGTGTGAATAAATTGTTCCTGATGTCATGCCACAGTAAAAACATTAAAACCAAAAATAAAGTCCTGAAAACAATTCCAGTAAATAATTGGAAAGTGCCCATGTTTGCCCTTCAAGGAACAAGTACAGTGGGGCCTTGACTTATGAGTTTAATTCGTTCCGAGACCGAGCTAGTTAAGGAGCTCGTTAACTCAAATTACTCTATCAACTCAATGCAAAAAATCGGCCAAGAGACAGCTGGTATCTCAAAAATCTCATTAGTTGGGACACTCGTAAGTCAAGGCCCCACTGTATTTCCAGAGCACCTAGAGACCATAGATCAAGTGGAATTAAAATCTGAAGCTTATATAATGTTATTAACCAATGTTACTCCAATAAATTTAAATTTTTAAAAATCTGACATTTAAAAAAATTATTCCTTGTTTTCAGAGTTTTAGATTTCCAAGATTGAAGTTCTCCTCCTGTGGGAAATGATTGAAGATTGAAGTTCTATTCCATTCCCTTTGTTTGCCCTTTCTACATGTCCATTCACTCTTGAAGACTCAGTTGTGTTACTTGCAGTCTTGTCTGAATTTTCTAGGCAGACTTCTGCACCTCCATCTCCCAGGTACACAGATCTGTAAATGCTTTCAATGGAGCATTTCACATCATATTGTAGTAATCTGGCTTTCTCTGAACAATTAAAACAAAGATCACTGAATAACTTCTAAGCTGTTCATCGCAGTTGCTACATGTCACACACCAAGAAAAGGGGCATTTATCTTTAGACGTCTTGTCTTCCTAGAAGTTTGTGCATCACATCCTACCCAATCGATTTTCCACGTGGTGTCATTGGGAAGAGGGGAAGTGGGCAAGGTGGCTCCAGAGCAAGGTCTAATCACTCCTACTTTGTGTAATTTTTACCTTTGTGTTGCTATGACAACTTCATGAGCTTCCCTGACAGCACAATTGCACTGGACTTGAATGCTTCTCCCTTGTTTTGTTTCCTTTTCCTCTGAAGTACTATTATTATTACTGTGGCGGGATTTAATGATCAGGATTTAATACCAATTTCTGCTATTGAGTCCTACTCACTGTTGGAGTCTAAGCTGTGACTAAAAGTAACCCATATCCAAACCTGCCAAGTCGCCTATGAAAGCCTTAACTAGAAACAGCTGCTGTTTGCTGAGCACTTTAGATTTTGAAACAAACAAAAAAGGGATAAATGATTTTTTTAAAAAAAAAACAAAACAACACACATAATCTCTAAAATGTGGTGCTCTTAAGAGTTGATGCAAGAGGGGTAAGTAACTCAGCTGTCAGCTGTTGGTGCTTCAGAAATTTGATATTGCTCAATTTTGAGAACCACTAAAAGAACCAAAGAAGATTATTCACATATACAATATTTTTCTTGGGCTATATGATTGTGTGTCACTTTCAAGCAAAGATATTAGGCAACAATCATTATGTGTCCAGCAAAACCCACAGCGGTCATAATATCTTTAGTAAACCAATAATGAAAATATCTAGGAAAAGAAAGCCAATATTATAAAAGTGTCTAAGTACCTAACATCAGTTTAAGAAACAGAATTTATGCCTCACAATTACAGTGGATCTTAAGAATGCTGAATAAAAAAGAAAACAATTTTAAAAAAGAAACACTCGCCATGGTGACACTCCAGTAATAATGAACACCCTTTGTGCTCAAATTTTGGCTTCTACAGACTATATTCCAATAAAAGACACCAGAGTTCCTTAGAGAAATAGATGATTCTAGGACTGGGGCATGGAAAATACAAGATAAACCTAGAGATTCTTGTAACACCAGAAAGTACGAAAATGCTTGAACAAAATGAACAAACAGAAATGGGGCATCTCAAATTGGCACAGGAATCAGCTTCAAAGTGTTTCCAATGGCCCAAGCTAAAACAATGTAATAAAATAATTAACGAGCACTGTATTTTATTCCAAAGAATAAAATATTCATGAGTCTATACTGATACAAATAAACAATTGAATAACTAAATAAATAGTGAAGAAAGACCCAATTATCCTTACAGAAGAATTCTAAATAATAGTTCATGTATCTTCTCTTGAGTATAGACTGGACTTAGTGACCCACAAAGGGTAGAGTATGAAAAGGAAATAAAAACAGTAACTTTATAGTGGGGAAACCTGGCAGATACCACCTCCACCAAGCAATCAAGTTAATATAATCAGTGATTAATCATGTTGATATCTCACACCCTCTGTTTTTATGCAGTGAGAGGACACCTTGTAGTTTTCTTCCTTCAAATCCATCACCCTAGTCTACTTATGAGAGCACATCAAACAAATGAAAATTGAGAATATTCTACCAAATACTATGAGAACTCTTCAAAAGTATCACAGTTATACAAAATAAGAGAAGACAAGTTTGCACAGAGGAGACTGAAGAGACATGTTGAATAGGTGCAAAGTGGTTTTCCAGATTCCATCCTGAAACATTAAGAAGACACTAGTGGAAAAGTTGGAGAAATCCCAATTAATCCTGTGGTTTAATAGTATTAGAAAAATGTTAAGATTTGGGTTTAGACAGATGTTAGCAATAAGGTAAGCTGTGTGGAAAGCTATAACAGAATTCTCTGCATTATCTTTGTAACTTTGTTCATCTAAAATTATTCCAAAAAAGTTTAAGATGGTATTATTATACTTGTTATATTTTGGTTTTTATATTAGAACTAGTGGCCAGGTGCACAAATTTGTGCACGGGTGGAGTCTGCCAGCCTGCCCCTATTGGGGCCGATTGGGCCAGGCTGGCTAGGGGAAGGGGCCATGGGTGGTTGGCTGGTCTGCCTTACGTCCTGGTCGAACTCCCAGTTGAGGGGACAATTTGCATATTAGCCTTTATTATATAGGATAAGTGCTTTCCCTGCTAAGTAGGAAAGTATTTGCTCCATGCTGTTATTTTTATTCCTACTTTCCCCATGTGCTGGAAGGCATGTATTTCAAGGACAAGACTGATGTTTATGGTCTTTAAAAAGTTCACAAATATAATCAGGTTTACAAGGGCTAAATGAACTGATAACCACAGCCAATGGTTCTCAGTTCTTGCTGTTCATGAAGCATTCAGGGTGATTAAAAAAATACAGAGGCTGGGGCCACATCCTAGAGGTTCAGGCCCCATTGTTCTGAGGTGAAATCAAGTCATCAATATTATTTTAAGATCTTCATAGGAGACTTTATTATGTAGTCAAGCTTGAGACCCAATGTATCCTATTGAGGCATGTAGAAATTGGGTTCCCCAAAAGATGAATAAATAAAAAGATGAATGATACCTTATTTCCTAAAAAGCCATTGGTTAATTTCCAGGAGGAAAAAAAAGCCAAATATGATTGTCCTACTAATAGACTCATTATTCATATATCACAATTGCAGGATAGTTATGTGAAGTAACAGGAATATCAGGATTGAATATACAATTGTCTTCATAAATGGATGCTCTATTTTCTAATTTGAATGGACTATAAAGAAAGCAGGAGAGGTGAGTCAAAGCAGGAGAGGTGAGTCAAAGTGGAGATGCAGGAAAATAAGAATCTGTCATTTACTTTGCCTAAGGCTCCCTCATTAGCCTCATCCAATCAAAGCAGCAGTCTTTCCTTATGGCTTGTGTCCTTTCAATTAGCATTCAAAGATTGCATTGTTATTGGTAAGTGACTTTCATAGCATATTAGCTGCTATGCATACTAATTCAGTGTGATGGAAAAGTAGTAATGTCAAAAAGAATTTGCACTTGAGTTCTTGCTATTTCCAGCTGACATTAGGGCAACCCTGAATACCAAGGACGGGAAAGACAACTTTGTTTTCCCTGCATTTTATAATTCAGAATTTATTCACTGGTTAATGGGGACTGGAAATCCACACAGCTCATAAAGGATTTTGGTTTCCACCACTGAGTTGATGGCTTGATCTTAGAGCTTTTTGATAGAGTATTTTTTTAAAAAAACACACAAACCTATTTTGATTTACAGCATGCATTTGATAGCTACACAATATTTTTTGAGGACTTGCTATGTGCTAGGTTCTACTCTAAGTTTATGGGGCTCAGTAATGCACTGAAGAGACAAATTGTTTGTTATCATGGGTTCTGGTAATCAGTAGTTATTTACATTTTTAAACCAAATAAAATAAAATGAGAGTATTCAAGTCACACAATGGTTATCAATAATTTCAGATATACTGTCTAAACTTTTTGCTATAATGATACTGTTATAATTAACCTAGTTATTAGCAACAGGAAAGGAGCAAAGGGAAGGCCAAATAGTATAGGCATGTCATCTATGCAGCTTCGCCAGGAAGCTTCAGTCTAACACTCCCCAGGAAGCCACCAGTCTATTCCCCTCAGACTGATGAGGGAAGAGCTGAACAGGGGCAGAAAAGGTGCACATGCCCAGTAAAGTCTGAGAGAAATAGGGAAGGTGCTTACCTGACAGTCATACCTCTGACCAGGCATTGGCCAGAGTAGGTATGGCCACTGCAAGCGTGGGAAGATTTGGAATATTTAATCCCCTGAACAAAGAAGCTCGCTCTCTTGGTTCCTGGCTCTCTTGGGACTCTTATTGCAGGGGGCACGCTCTTACGTTCCTGCATTGGTCCACATGGTTCACAGTCATGTGGACCCCACACAAGGGACTAATGGGCTGCAACTGGCCTGATGCTGCACCAGATCCAGTTACAACATGGAACGGACACTCTGGACTCTGGCTTTGCTTCCAACTCTACTGAGTCCCCAACAGCACTTCTTCCAGGACTGGATGAGGGGAAATGCATCTTTGGAAACCCAGGTGTGTAATTCTACGCAAATGAAAATCACTTATCCTCCAGGGTGAGTCTCAGAAAATTATTTTCTCAAGATATCATAAGGACCTCACCCCCAGCACCCAGCGGGGAAAAGGACTCCCCACTTCCACCAATAACAATAGGGTGATTGTTTCAATGATCTCTTTCTATATAAAGAATTTTTTATAGAATGTTGATTACTTTACTCATTCATTAATTCATTCATTCCTTCATGGATAACTTGCGTTCATCAGTTTTTTATGCAGCTTCTACCAGGTGAATGAAAGCTTTGTGAGAGCCTGGAGTATGCTATATTTATCCTTCTATCCCAGTGCATGTCACAGTGCCATATATATATTTCAAGATGCTGAGTAAATGTGAAGAGACCTGTGAACAAAACAGGGGGCTATGCAATAAACCTGACAAGGTCAGGGGGCCACATGGCAGGGACCCAAAGTAACCACACAGGGTGGTCTGATCACAAATTCCTAACTGAGCAGGTTATGGCTGGTAGTCACATCCCAGGCCTCTGGTTTCCTTAGCAAAGGCTAATCTTTTGGTTTCTTTTATTGAATTTATTGGGGTGACATTAGTTTGCAAAACCATAGAGGTTTCAAGTGTACAATTCAATAAAACTTGATCTGCACACTGCATCGGGCGGCCATCAACCCAAGCAAAGCCTCTTTCCGTCCCCATTTTCCCCACCATTGCCCACTTCCACCTACTTCCCCACCCTGCTTTCCCTCTGGCTATCACCACACTATTGTCTGTGTCTATATGACACAATGCATTAAAGAAATGACAAAATTGCCATTCTCTGCAGCATTTTCTCAGTCATTGAGATCTTGCTTCTGGGCATGTCCTCAAAATTTTGGCTCAAATAAACCTTTCTATTGGTTTGGATGTGCTTTCATGAACAGATTGAATATTTGATAATGCTGGATTGACAAATTTGAAGGCAGACCCAGGTCTCTAGTAAGTGTTTGGGTTTCCTGTCTTAGCTAATTATTTTTTGTTTGTTTGTTTATTGTCTAAAGTTTTACATAAGTCTCCTTTTTCCCCAACTGACCCCTCCCCCCACCAGCCATTCCCACTCCGGGCAAGCCCTCACCGCATCAGTGTCTGTGTTCATTGGTTATGCTAATATGCATGTGTACAAGTCCTTCGTGTTCGTTTTTTTATAATGTGGTTTTTTTGTCTCATCTCCCTTATGAGTAATCATATTTCCCTTTAATTATATTATTTTTTTCTGCAGTAGTATCTCCAAACAACCCTTCCAAGGAATTTGCCCCAATCTTGTGAATGACAAAAAAGCATTGAAGTTATTTTACTGGAGATTTAATAAATAAGCTATTTACATTTTATATTATAAGTCTAATAATATATTATGATGTGTTTTGATTTGCCTATTGCTATTATTGTTACTATTCTGAGATTTAATTTTAAAATCATCTTTCATCTGGGTTGAAATTAATATTTCTTACATGTATGCCCAGAAATAAAAAAATGAAATACCCTGAACTATAAGAGGTTACCATTTTTTTAAAAAAAATTAAAGATGAGGAATAATATCTTTGGCCTTTGATGGAGAGTAAAGGAAAGCAGGCATTTACATAATTTTAAATTACAGTATCATTGCTCTGGTTTTGTTCCTTAAACTGTACAGCTGTTTACAATTCATTTTTAATTATAGCTAAAGGGTTTACAATCAGACTAAATAAAATGCTTAAAATGAAAGGTTATCCCATGATAGCTGATGGTGTTTATTTAAAGAACCTGAGCAGATTTCTCCTCCAGAGAACACAGATTTGTAGGAAAAGGATTTTACAGACTCAGATCCAATTTTCAAATGTGGAGAAAAAGGGGAAGGAGATATTTCTTATTTCCATATTTACAATAAAATTTTGAGAGTCATTTAACAATACCTGCTATTTTTCTGTTTGAAGTAGATTTTTTCAGGTTGACATTATAGTGCCTTTGAAGAACAAATATATTCAAAAAGATTTTGAGGTTTGTTTGTCATTAAATTCAAACAAATTTTTATGTTTAATTATGTAATCGTTTTCTAGGGGATTATGCTTCTGAACTATTGGCAAAGACTGGTTGTTTGAGGTTATTTGCATGAAATTATATGCCATATTCCTTACAAAACTTGTAGAGAAGGTTCTGACATGAATGGTGTTCCAAATTCTGTAACATGACTGAAAATGGTGAACTAACTAGCTGATTAGCTGATGTCATAAAATTAACTCATGAAACAAAAACTTCAAGAGTCATGAAGCAGTGAAATGCATGATGGCACCTGAAAATGAAGTTGAGTAGCTGTGGTCAGTGGGCCATCATATGCAGGTGGTGTCTCCTAAATGTCCTTGGTCTGGTACGCTTGACCACCCTCAGTTTTACCCAGAAAAGACAGAACTCCAAGAAGGCAAGTAGGTACAGTCCCTTTGTTAGCCATGAAATGGCACCTCGGTTCAGCAACCTGGGTATTTGAGTTCTGGCTAAGAAAGAATTCAGAGTCAAGACTCAAACTGTAAGAGAAAGTTTATTTAGAAAGTCACAGAGGTAGAAGAGATGAGCTGTGGAAGAAATGGGCTCAGGAAACAAGTTACAGAAGCAAAAGTAGGGCCCTTGGAACTTGGGGGAGAGATAGAGATAGAGATAGATAGAGATAGAGATAGAGATAGAGATAGAGATAGAGTAGCCTTGAGAGATGGAAGAGGGAGAAAAGGCACAGGCATACTCCAGAAAGAAGAAAGAGAGAGAGAGAGAGAGAGAGAGAGAGAGAGAGAGAGAGAGAATATGCAGCGTCCTTGGGATTCTTGTCTTAAGAGTTTTTATTTGAGTGTCTCAGAGGAGGGTCTCAATAGAGTATTCATCAGCTTTCCAGGTGTGCCCTCTCAGGGTTGTGGTCTCCACTGATTGGCAGGCGCTAGGGCAGGGGATCATTAGTCAATGTAGCTGGTACTGATATCAGGCATGGCATCGATCTATCTGAGTTTACTGCTTCTCTGGGCCTGGAGTTAAAACTTAGCTGAGGCCTAGATGTCATCTCCAGGGATTAATGCTTAAGAGAATGGTCCTGCTAGGGCTTGTAGTTTTGCCTGTTGCTACACACCCAGGGCTCTCTGCCCTGATGATTCTCTGTACCTAGCCCATCATTCCTACTTGTCTCATGCCTATCTAACTATCTATTATACCTTGATTCAGAACTTAAATGCTAAGTTGCCATGTCTGTAGGTTATTTCCTGTAGTGAATAATTTAGAGAGAAACTAAATCAAAGGAAAAAGAAATATGTTGAAAACATTAAATGCTGGTCAGGAGGTGGAAAAAAATTGGATTACTCATTACTGATGGAAATGGTAAAATGGTACAGCCATGCTAGAAAAAAAGATTGGAAATTAAACAAACAAACATTTATTTACCATCCAACCCAGCAAATATACTCCTGAGCATTTATCCCCAGAGAAATAAAGACTTAAGTTCACACAAAACCCTGTACTACATGATGGAAACACCCAGATGTTCTTTAAGAGGTGAATGGTTAAACTGTGGTATATACATTACGGGATACTACTTAGCAATAAATGAATGAACAATTTGAGCACAAAGAAACCTGGGTGAATCCCCAGAGACTAAAAATATCCAGTCCTAAAGGTTATACAGTGTTACATTTTATCAAATGCTTTTTTTCCCCCTGGATCCCATAGTCATGTGATTTTTCTACTTCTTCAGCTTGTTAATATGATGGATTATATTAAGTTATTTTCAAATATCAGATCAACCTTGCATCCTTGGAATAAAGCACAATTAATCACAGTGAATAATTCTTTCTAAGTGTGATGAATTCTATTAACTCATTTTGTCAAGAATTTCTGCATCTGTATTCATGATGGATATTGGTCTACACAGTCTCCTTTTTTTTTTCTTTGTCTGATTTTAGAAATAAGACGTCAGAGAATGTGTTGGAAAGAGTTTCCATCTCTTCTTGTTTCTGGTAAAGATTGCATATAATTGGTGTTAATTCTTATTAAATATTTGGTAGAATTTTTCTGTGAAACCATCTGGATTCTTTTTTCTTTTTTGGATATTTTAAATTTATGACTTTAATTTCCTTAACAGTATGGAGATATTAAAATTATTGCTTTAATATTGGATGAATTGTGGTTATTTAGGTTTCAAGGAGGTAATTATTTCATCTAAGTTATTGAATTTATATGTGTAGTGTTGTTTATAGCCTTCCATAATTATCCTTTGAAGGTCTGCAGGATCTCTAGTGACATATCCTGCTTAATTCCTAATATTAGTAATTTGTATTTTTTGTCTTTTTTTTCCCATCTTGCTAAAGATTGGTTCACTTTTTCATACAACCTATTTGTTTCAATGGTTTGCTCTATTGAAGTGGGGGTGGCATAAATGCTCATTTGTGATGTTTTATTGTAAATCATCAAATTTCTCATGAAAACCAAAATTAACTAACATGCTCACCAGTAGCATGGAAATAATTAATGCTTTTGTTTTTCTTAATTGATAATTTTTATATAAAATGGAATCCCTTGTGTTGATTTTTTATTAAGAATGGAATGAAAAAATTTATGTTTATTGGTATTTAATTTACATTTATGTTTTTGGAGAGCTGCCTTTTTATGTCTTTTGCCAATTCTTTGTAAGGCTCAACTTATTGCTATTGATTTTCAAATACTATTTACATATTAAGGATAGTAATTGCTTTCTTTCTTATATATATATTGCAAATAATTTTGTTTGATTTTTAGATTTGTTTAAGAAGTTTTATGTAACATAGATTTTTAAATAATTTTCAGATACAATCATGAAAATCTTTTCCTTTATGATTTGTGCTTTGGATATTAAAGCCTTAAGATTCTAAAGCATCTTTTTCAGATATGTGAGATGAAAAAAGGGAGCAGATACTAATAGCCAGCAACTCCACAGGGTATCCTGTAATTGACAGTGTCTGTAAAGAACTTTAATTTTTTTGAAATTGAATGGACATTATAATGTGATTTTAACCTCTAACCTTTGATCATTTATAACCAAATGGAATAAGATAAAAAATAAACCGGACACATTATTATGTTTGATTCAGAAAAGAACATAGTAAAATTGACATCTTGTTATTTTTTGTCCTGACAAGGAGGTCAGAAATAGCAGTAGCTGGAGGTAAGAAAAATCCAAGAATATTTGAATATTTAAGTTTTCTCACAGATGATTTGGCATATAAATAATGTAAAAGGCTTCCCCAAACTTAGATAAATATTTCCAAATATTCTACATTATTAAGATTATTGTTCCTTACTTCAAATAAAGAGAACCAATTCACCCTTGCATATTTATGAGAACTAGTTCTGTTGCCTATATATTACAGTAACTCCAAAGTCTCAAGATATAAATTTCCTAGTGATTTCTTCTAATGGTTTTCATAGTGCTATTCAACATTTCAAAACAACTGAAATGATTTTTAGACCACTAGTAAATATTTTAGGAAGATGTGAATGATGGTTCATTTATTCTTTCATTTTATTCATGGTTATTTATGGTTTAAGTAGAGCTTCTTTATCTTCTGTTTTCAGGGAAATATATTAGCCTTATATAATTTCATTGGTAATGATGAATGCATATTTCAAAATAGTCGCATAAATAACCACTTACACTTTGTGTAAATTTTTCTATGTATTTTTTTAGAAGATTGTTCACAGAAAACAGCCTCAGAATGAAATGTTTCATTTCTTTTAAGAATACATTTCTGGTACAAGCCAGAGGGTGAGGCCACCATGTTTAAGTGATTACATTTTTAGATGTTTCTGAAAATGAAACATTCCTAAGAAAGAACATTAACTATGTCAGCAAATAACATGTTCAATCCCTCCCTTATTCAAGGCAGAAAACTTGAATGCTCACTCGATCTGTGTCCAGCATTACCCAGTCAGTACACAATACAAGAGTGGTATTTAAAAATCTCAAATCTGATAATATCCATCCTCTTCAAAAACCACTAATGGCTCAGCATAATGTTGAAAATCTTTAATATGGTCTCACCAAGGTCTCCATAGACAAGCCCTCCATAACCATCTCTCAGACTTCCATCCTCTCCCTCTTCTTCAGCCATATAGGTCCCATGATGGTGAGACCCGTGTGCCTCTTCCCTGTGCATTACTCAGTATCTAGTGCAGAGCCAGGCATGGCATTCCCACTCAATCAATGTTTCTCTCATACATCAATGTCACGCTCTCTCCTCCCTCCCCCTCTCTCTAAAATCAGTTAAAACAAAAACAAAACCCACAACAAACACAAAAAACATATCCTGAGTATCCTGAGGTAAGGATTAAGAAAAAAAATAAATCATTGCATACTATAGCCAGCCCCACCAACCACCATTGGAGGATAACATAGCCAACTGTTCTGCACTGACATGACCTCCAGTAGCATCTGTGTACCTGTGACAATATCCTGAAATCTTCACCTGAGGGCAGCCCCTAAGAGCTTCCTTACAAACTTGAACTTATTAGGAATAGGGATTAGCTTGGGTAAATGTGTCTCATTCACTGAAATAGTCAGTAGGCATTTTACGCAGGGGCATTTTAGTCCACTGATTTCACTGTTTTGTCTGAGGTTAGTGGAAACTGTTCTGTTTGAAGACTAATGTCAGAGTATGTGACAATCTTAATAGAACTTCCAAACATTTTAATAATTGTAAGAAACCTGGGAGGGATTAAGGAAAAAGAAACACTGTTTTGCCTTATCAAAAGCTTCAAACTCCCAAGAGCTGCACTATGTACAGCTGGGGCAGGGGTGTGGTATAAGAAGCACCACTAATTCCATCAGGTTAGCGGGTGTAAAGCAAGTCCGGACCGAGGAAACCAGGCCGAGCTGCTTCTATGCTTCCTGCTGTGATAACCAATTTTAGGGTTGGCATCCTGGCTATACACATACTTACCAGCTGTGATCTTAGACAATTACTTGGTCTCACAGAGGCACCAATTCCTCATCATAGAATGGGTATAACAACACTTTTTCATATGACTGTGGCCAGATCTAAGTAATTAAATGCCTGGCAGAAAAAAATGAGTTAGATCTGTGTAAGATGCCAAGAATCGTATTACTGTGATATGTGTGATTATTTAAGCAAAAAACAAAAGAATTTGAGCCATGCCACTAAAGGAAGGGATGACTCGTTCCGGGTGTTTCACAGTTAACTCTTGGTTTTGAGGACATGGTCCTGAGTGTCCAGAAGCCTCACTTGTTTCAGTAAAGCACTGGCTGGCTTAACAGGATACTTAGGGCTCCACAAAGTGCAGCATGAACAGCCCTGGAACCTTTATTCTCTATTGCAGGTTTCCATGATGAGAAGTGTTATAAACATACAGCTTTTATTGAGTACCCTCTTTGTCAGGCCTTCTGCCAGGAACTTTTCAAACTACATAGTTACTTCTAATCCTCAAAATATTGCTTACATATATATAGTTTATAGCACTACCATCTATATATATAAAAAGCAAGCGACCGGAATGCTGCAATGACCAGAATGACCGGTCACTATGACGCCCACTGCGGCCAGTGAACGGGCCTGATCTGGGGATGGGGCTGGCTGGCCAACCTCCTGCAGCCCCTCCCCGCACCTGACCCCACCCCAGATGGGCTCCCCCACCCCAA